AGAGATGTCTCAACCCAGAAAAGGGAGTTTGGCCTTTAAATGATCACACTGTTAAAAACTGGTAATGTTGTTGTTAATTTAAGGATTCATTTCTACTGATCCTTAAAAAAATATTTTCAATTGTGCAACCTATCGTAATCTGGTTGATTCATATTAAATTAAATTTTTGACTTGGAAAAAAAAATGTTGAGATGTTACATCAAAATAATAACTTTAATAACAAGAATAAGAATAAGAATAAAATGAGTTGTTGTAATATGTCTATATGTCATTTCATGCTCATGTCAGAAAGATGGTGGTAGTGTTGGAACTCTTAAATTATTTGTGAAAATACATTTTAATTAGAATTAAATGTGACATCCAGATCCAGTCCGTATCCAGATCAGATGGTCACTGCAGTCACCCGGATCCAGTCCGTATCCAGCCCAGATGGTGGATCAGCACCTAGAGAGGACCTCTACAGCCCTGAATGTCAGCAGAGACCATGTCAACTAGACGAACCCTAGAGACAGATCCCCTGTGAAGACCTTGTTGGCCATCGGCTCAAGACCACGAGAACCAGAAGAGTCCTCTGCTCAATCTGATGTGTGTTGCAGCCTGGAATTAAGCCACACCATGCTGGTTTCATCAGGCCAGAGGAGAACTGGCCCCCCGACTGAGCCTGGTTTCTCCCAAGTTTTTCTCTCTCCATTTCTGTTACCGATGGAGTTTTGGTTCCTTGCCACTGTCGCCTTTGGCTTGCTTAGTTGGGGACACAATTTCTGGCAACATTGTTGACTTGACTGCACAGACACTACTGGAAGAGAACTGAACTGAGCTGGACGATGACATCACTGAATCAACCAACTTTAACTGATAAACTGACTGATTTATATTGTCCTTTTGCATTATCAGAACACGTTTTTCCTGTTTAACACTGTAAAGCTGCTTCGACTCAATCTGTATTGTATAAAGCACTATACAAATAAAGGTGACTTGACTTGACTTGTTTCAACAATGGTACTTAAATCTATTCAACTGATTCCTGGAAACCAACATGAAGAATTTCTGCTCGAAATAAGTCTCTTTTGTTCTGCATTGACATCACTGCAAAACAGCAGTGAAATACTTCTGACTGCTGCTTAACAAAGGCAAAGACATCCGTAGAAGGACGGTCAGAGGGAGGTTGTAAATAAGCAGACAGAAGAATGACCTTTCTCAAAGATGTGCTGCTGGACTCCATTTTTTATGGACTCGGTAAATAGTGAACCCAATCTCTGAGCTCAATCTGTTGCCTAATATTCCTCTTTTGTGTTTCCTGTGTTGAAATATATGTTGCCTCCTGAAGTAACCTTTTACATTCTTCATCTCATTTTTTTACAGACAGATAATAAGAAAATAAACCCTAATAATAAGATGAAGTTATAACACTCCAGCTTTGTTATATGCAAATTGTTTTGAAATCAAAATACTGTTGTGATAAACATTTACTGTGTGCTTTTAATTTACATTTATACAATTGGCAGATGCTATTATCCAAAGTCTCTTACGTTGCATTCGAGGTACACATTTCTTGCTTTCCCTGAGAACTGAACCCTTAACGTTGATAGTGCCATGCACTACTGTTTGGGCTACAGGAAAACCTGGCTTGTTTCATCTGTTCAAACTGTGCATGATTTGATCTAACATTCTAGATCTAACATTTAAGCATAGATATTTGATATTTGACTAAATGTTTTTACCTTCAAATTCTTCTTCATTTTGACAAGCTATATTATCTGAACATTCTAACATTTACAAACTTTACAGCGATAATAAAACTTTTTTTTCCTTCCCTGCATGCTTTTACCATCCAGTTCTACAAACTATATAACATTTGAATGTTCTAACAAATATGTTTTTTTTTTCAATAAAAAAAATAATGACATTCTTTACTAATTTGTTTTAAATGTACTGTATGCTTCCCAAATCTTATTTCATTCCGAAAAACTGTATATTATTCAAAAAATTCTCAACCTTTATACATTTGTCTTTTATACAAGTAGCAACATTGGAGAATCACGTTGGAAAAAGGCAATTTACAAAAAAACAAAAATACACTTTGTTTCAAAGAGAAAAGAAAAATAGAGTGGTGGTCAAATATGATCAAAATGCTACAGTGATTTTTAATATATGTCAGGAGTGGACATGAACACATGCAACAGTCCTAACCTTTGCTGTCCACTGGCGATGTGCAAGTCCAATCATACAAACTTTGGTAAAGATGTTGCCAATTCTTATAATAAAACTTTAAAAAACCCTACAAACTACAACTATTTGCTGTTTTATCCTTGTTGTTTTTGTAGCTTGTAAAACTGCATCATATGGTACATGTGTGCTGAAATTATGCTGTTAGTATGTGCATCCACACCGGACTACAATCAACTTATTATCCGGCTCCAAATGACTGGCCAGGTGGTCTGAGATGTCTCCCCCCTCTCGTATTCATCAACAAAACAAAAAGGCTGTGATTGGTTCTCCTCCTCCAGTGTGACGGGTGTTTTAGGGTTTGAATCAGTGGGCAGCTGGGAGAGCTGAAAACAGCTTCACTCTCCCAAACAATACAGCTATAAAAGGCAGTAAAACAATCCCAGCGTTCCAGCATGAAGGAGGGGGAAGGGAGAGAGAAGGGGGAGGAAGAGTGAAAGAAGCAGTGGAGGGGGTGACTACTCATGCGAATAAAGAGTCTCTTCTGTTGGGAAGGTCTTTGCTATTATTTATAAAGACCTGCACCAGGACGCACTCCAACCAGAGCAGATTTGATGTAAACAACAAGGCTACGGGTGACTACAATATTTTGGAACACTGTACCTGTTTGCCAAACGATGAAAATGCTTTGTTTTCAGAAGTTTGAGGACAGAGTATTTCAATTATTTCAACAAAATAGTATGATAGTAGTGAGTGACAAAAGTACAAATGTATCGCAATACTGTACTTTGAGTGTTTCCAGTGTTGCATGATCTCAGAGTAAATAAAAAAACTTATTTTTTTTGTCTGTAGGCGTTTTTGGACAAACATATTTTTAATGTTTTGTTGGCTGAACACAAGACAACTGACAACAAAAGGCAAGACAGTACTGTGAGTGAGTGAGTGAGTGAGTGAGTGAAGAACAACTTGCCAATACCTTTGGGTCGAGTCTTAACTAAAAAATTAAAAATACAATATTTTGTTTACAGAAGTTGCACGATTAATTGGAATAAAACTTCACCCGTTTTTTTTTTTTAAAAGAGAGCCATGTATATGTAAACCATGCATTGTCGCAGCTGTGTGTTTATTGTCTTCATGTTTAATCAAAGTTTTTCTCTTTATTTTTAATTTAGCTACAGCAATAGCTCAATGTCTGCATCCATATTAGGGATCTCCTGGAGCGTCATAAGATATATTACTTCTGTGAGGCAATTTTGGAATTTCTGCACTAAGGCACCTTTCAGCTTCCAGTATGAATTAAATATTACATGTGTTTAGCACTCAATAATGCTCACACCAACCTATTTTGGGTAAAAATAGGAAAAATAACATTTCTCTCTAAAGTAATTTGACAGTAGATTATAGATTATAGAATACAGTAGATTAGTAGAGGACTCTGAGAAGTGTACAGGGCTGCATTTCTCAAAAGCATCGTAAGCTAAGTTGATTGTAGAGACCATTGGTAGCAATGAATCTACGATCTATTTTGGCTTACGGTGCTTTTGGGAAATGCAGCCCAGGAGTTTTTTTCTTAGTGGATGTATAAGAGGCTGACATTTCCTATTTAAGGCATGGACTTCTGACCTCCTGGCAAAAATTAAGAAATATTTTATCATAATAATATAATATTTTGTAATAAAACCTTAGACCTTTCTAATGATTTATAGTTATAGGCCCTTCTATGTTAACAGGTCACCTGCAGTTTTCCATAAAATTAAAGTTTTCTGTAAAATTAATTATTATTATTATTATTAAATACCCTGATTTTATTTAATAGTGAAACAATAACATTTCTTATTTTGTTTATTTTTATTTAGTAATAACAATAGCAATCATTCTTATTAGTCATTGATTTACAAGCACAATCCCAATTTTTAACCAGAAAAAAAACATTCTGTCTACAAACTAGGGCTACACAATTTGGGGAAACATTTCCCAAAAGGTCATGCGTGACGTAGGCAGAAGTAACGATCCAGTGTTTACAAAGCAAACTTGAATAGAAAGTCAAACGCCCTTTACAAAAAAGGTAAAACAACAATGTCGGACGATTTTGATGTTGGAGGAGAAAATGAGATGGAGTTTTTCACCCTACCCTACCTTTCTGAACCAGAGTATACAGACGAAGAGCTACATTTACCGTGCGTGACCTTTCCAACATGATTACATAATGTGTGAATTTGCAGATGTGCATCGCGTAGCTAGTGCAAGATGTGCATTTGTGGTTAAAAAGTAAATAAATTTTTATTTTGTTTAGAAAATGACTGTTATTGTGTTTAGTTTCACTAGATAAGACCCTTATTCCTCGGGTGGGATCGTGTAGAGCCCTTTGAAGCTGCACTGAAACAGCAATGTGGACCTTCCACACGTTGGCCACCATTTAAGTCCATTATATGGAGAAAAATCCTGGAATGTTTCCCTCAAAAACCTTAATTTCTTTGCGCCTGAAGACAGAAAGATATGAACATCTTGGATGACATGGGGGTGAGTAAATTATCAGGAAATTTTGATTCTGGAAGTGAACTAATCCTTTAAGTGCACACTTTGTGCAAGGGGACAGCACTTCCAGGCAGAACTGACCAACACTGAGAAGGCCACATGGTTGAATGTATCATCTGTCAATGCATGATGTTGTACAGTACTGTAATAATGTTGTGAGGTTGAGGGTCTGTTCCTGTTTCATGCTGAACTATTTCAGAATGCTGTAGTATATCTGTAGAGGTTGTGATGGAAGTGCTTTGGATGAGTTTATTGTATCTGTGGCTGGCTGATGTTAGTAAAGTGTTGTGTAGTTGTACCTGTGAGCGGTTGATGTGCTGTCCGGCGGGTATTTGGAGGTTCATGGGGGACGTCTGGAGCATCTCAGAACTCAACGCCTTTTGTCCATTAATGTGTGCCGTCACCATGGAAACGGGAGTCTTTGCTGGCACCACAGAGATGGCGATGCTCTGGCTGGGCGGCTTGATGAGGGCGAGGGGTTTGGCGGCCGTCCCCACAGGACAACTTCTGACAGCGAGCTTCTGTCACACAAAACACACAAACAGCAGCAGGTCATTAACCCTGAAAACACTGATAACCTCAAGACCTCTGCAGTGGATTAAAACTTTAATGGTAGATCTAACAGGACATTTGTCTCCAGAGTTTTCTTTTCGAACCAGCGCAATTCATGTCAGTTGTGTACGCGCATGCTAATTGTCATGCATAATCAAAGTATTTGCCCAATTTCCAGCGCACAGCAGCTCGTACATAATGAAGAGATGAAATATAAAATGCGAGGCTGCTTTGATTCTTGTTCGTGCTCTTGCATCAGCTCAAGTTCAGGGACTCAGATTTAAGCGTGCACTTTAATGCAAGTGTGTTTATTTGTTGTTCAAAGTCTTCTTCCATTTCCTCTCATTTACCTTGGGAAATGATACAGCACATGATCAAACGGTCTTTAAAAACAGAAAGTAGAGCAACATTCACTTTCATGTGTGCTGTGTTGAGTCAAGCACACTGCAAATAAAATTCTTAATCAGTATTTCTGTCTTTTTTCAAGTAAAACAACACTAAAACAAGACAAATTTACATTTTAATCAAAAATTGAGATATTAAGATAGATATTAAGACTCATTTTAGAGAATAGATCATGTAATTTTTGTTATCCTTTCAGCATTTTTATGCATAAACCTAATTTATTCATATATGTGTTATTTTCAATTCATCTTGAAGTTAATTCAAGATATATTCTTTGAAAACAAGTATTAATTATCGCATGCAGCTTTTCTACACAATGAAATGTATCTTGTTGAATATTAATTAGACAGGCCAAAATCGACCTGTTCTCAGCAGAGCTCCTGAGAAAGGAGCTGTAAAAATATATTGAGGTGGTTTTTGGTACTTATACCGCAAATATATATTCTTAAGGACATCAAAACCTAAAATAAAACTCCAGAAAGGTGTAAAATTTTAGGATTTCTAGGAAAACAAGTACACTAAACTAGCTTTAAAGCATAAATCATCAACAAAAATTCTTTACGGTTTATGCTTATAACAACAACAAAACTATTATAATAATTAATATTAATACTTCTAAAATGTATACATTTTATAAATATAATTATTATTAATAAATAAAAATGTAAGATGTATTTTCTGATAACAAATCTTAGTATCTTACATAATTCCACTTAAGTAAATGTACCTTGGTTTAAGGATAATTAAATATTTTACTGGAAAACAAGACAAAATCCATTTTTGACAGAGTGGATTATAGAGTCTGACGGTGCATAAGAAAGTGTCATCATTGTTCTACACACAGAAACCCTCTTTCCCTGCTCCGATCAGCACAGTTTACACTATAAGCGCTCTGAATATTTCATATTCCATTCCTGTTCTCATTTCTGAACTGCTTTTATGGTTTTCTGAGAACTGTGAGGGGGAAGGGAGCAAGAGAAAGGGAGAGACAGGTCTTTCATATTCAGCTTTTCATATTCAGAGGCCGTCTATCTGTAAAGGAGCTTTTTCAATATGTTTTCACATGTGAGCACCTACAGCCAATAAACCCTGACTGACACATATATTCATAATGTATTCAGTTTATGACTCTGAAGAATCGCATTGCCTCTGCAGTGTGATGTGTTTGCATTGCTCTGACTGCACAAGATACATCATCAAGATTTTTTTCCGATCACAGTCAAAGCTCCAAAACTGAAGGAAAGACTGAACTTGCTCACAATTACCTATGGCACACTGACGACCATGTTTATAAGGAATGAGGTGTAAGAGGAGGTTTAAGGGAGAGGATGGAGAATAGAAGGGATGGAGAGGTATAGCAGATCTCCACGGAAACTAAATTCTTGATTTGTTTTACAAAATCCACTCAAATCTGCACATCGAACAAACACACTAATGTAGTAGAAACACATCAGGGTGCACTCTCAGTCTCTCATTCCCTCACTTTTTTTTTTTTTTGAGTATGTGGTGAAATGTGTTACCAATATAATGAATGAAATACGAATTGTACCGTAAAAGTAGCACTACATGCATGATGTTTTAGTAAGTACAGTCGTTTATGTCCTGATGATTGCTGACGTGGCTGTAAGTAGCCAATCTATTCTTACATTGCAGCTTCTTGGCTCTAGTATGTAAACGTTTCTCAGAAACTGAAATTAACATCACAGTTTTGTGTTCAAGTTTTTGTTGAATGCAAAGCATTGTCACTATGTTGTTTAATCAACAAAATAAAAATGGGAAATCTGCTGCGTTGCTCATGAAGTTAGTATAGTTTTGGTGTGAATATTGTTTTAAGGCATCACTCTTGATGCAAATACTTCTATAATATAATATAAATTACATAATACAATAACAATAATTTTATTATTAATATTATATGAATTTAGCCGTTTTTCCTGTGCCATGTCGAGATATTGCTTTTGGTGTGGATCTCCTACAATAAGTTATTTTTTCACATGTTTTCATGTTACACGTTACATTTAGTGTTAATAGTTTTGTTACAAACAAATCCGATTTTTCAAGGTGAAAGGTATTTTACAATTTCTGTCACCAGTTTTGCATTGAGTTTCTCATTACTGCTGGATATGCTGGAAATGATCTAAAGTTATACATTCACCAATAAGGACAAACTGTAGGGCTTCATAAACTCTTACCCTTATTTATGACAAAGAAACAGCACGGGTGCAGCAAAAGTCATTTAAAATCACTGCAAATGCTCACCAACGTAGTGTGAATAGGGAAATTATTCATATGTTCTTCATTAATTCCCTCACAATGCATGCGGTGAGCTCTATTGTTTCTGAGGATCAATGTAATCCACAGGAAACCTCACACCCGGCACCTGGACACAACCTTTCACTGCTGCCTCATTCACCTTAAGATTGTTTCAAAGGTCACCATATGATTTTATACGATTTTTATATGATTTCATATGATTTTAGGCCCTGTATATATACAGGTGCATATAAATGAACTTTTCCACGACATTCTAATTTATTGAGATGCACCTGTATATATATATATATATATATAAATATATATATATATGACATGTATATATGACATTTCATATATACAAGGGTTATTTTCCAGCATACTCAGCAGCAGTGAGTTGACAGGGGTTGGTTGACCGTCTGACATATACACACATTAAAGGCTTTTACAGCGCTATAATGAAGCGCTCTGACTTCTCTTGCCTCAGGCTAAACAAATCATCCACATGTCTCATGTCAACACTGAGCTTCCAGTTTCATTGTTCCTGATGAACGGAATGGAAAAGAAATGCTCTCAGATATTAGACACCTTTTGGGAGTCACTTTAAAGGGATAGTTCACCCAAAAATGACAATTCTGTCATTAATTACGTACCAAACCTGTAAGACCTTCGTTCATCTTCAGAACACAAATTAAGATATTTTTGATGAATCCGAGAGTTACCACGTTCAAGGCCCAGAAATGTAGTAAGGACATCATTAAAATAGTCCATGTGACATCAGTGGTTCAACCGTAATTTTATAAAGCTACGAGAATACTTTGTGTTTTGTATTGTAAACAATGCGCAGCATGAGTGTTCTACATCAGCAGCAGCACACGCATGTGTCTTGGAGCTCTCGTGAATGGCAGCGGACACTGAAACGGAAGAGAAGAATTGTTGAATAAAGTCGTTATTTTTGTTTTCTTTGCTCACAAAAAGTAGCTTCATAAAATTCTAGTAGCTTCATAAAATTACGGACTAATTTAAGTATATCCTTACTACGTTTCTGGGCCTTGAACTAAAATTAAACAATATCCCACTGTGCTTAAAAATCTGCAAAAAGTTTTATCTTCTAATATCTAGGGCTGGACGATATGGCCAAAATTGATATCACGATATATTTCTTAATTTCGGTCGATACGATATAATTCCGATATCGATATGAACACTATTTATCTGAAATAGAAATCTTTTGTAACATTATAAATGCCTTTATCATCACTTTTGATCAATTTTAAGCATCCTTGCTAAATAAAAGTATTAAATTCTATAATTTCTTTCCCAAAAAAATTATAAAAATTATACTGAATGGAATAGTATATAATGTTACAAAAGCTTTTTATTTCACATAAATGCTGATCTTTTGGATCTTTCTATTCATCAAAGAATCCTGAAAAAAAATGTACTCAACTGTTTGGGTCCATTGCTTTTTGCTATATATATAAATGATTTTCATCTTGCATGTCCTGGCATTAATATACAAATGTATGCGGACGATACAGTAATTTATATACATGGTAATAGTCTAGCACAAGTTGCAAATGAACTCACGAATTCTATGGTTAATGTGTCAGCATGGCTAAAAGAGAATTGCTTACAACTAAATGTGTCCAAGACAGTATGTATGTTTTTCTCTAAGTCTAACAGTATTATTAAAGAGCCAGATGTTTACGTGTCAGGGGTGAGGCTGCAGGTAGTGCCTCAATATAAATATCTGGGAATCCTGATTGATTCTAAACTTACATTTAAAGCTCAAGTTAAAAAGGTTTGTAAGCAGGTTAAGTTTAATCTCTACAATTTTAAATTTATTAGAGATTATATGTCATTGGAGGCAGCTAAGATGTATATGTATTCTATGGTTATTTCTCACATGACTTACTGTTTAACCACCTGGTCTCAGGCGAGTTCAGTGACTCTAAAACCATTAGAGTCCTTATACAAACGTACACTTAAAGTCTTTGATAAGAAATCGGTGCATTATCATCATTGTCTAATACTGAAAAAATATAATTTGTTAAGTTGGGAAAATATGATTAAGTATGCAAATGTATGCTTGATGTATAAAATTATTTATGGTTTATCTTCTCCTCCTCTTAGTCAGTTAGTTAGTATTAGAACAACTGATTATCGTTCTACAAGAGGTGCATTAAGAGGAGATTGTATCATACCGCTTAGACGAAGTAATTTTAGTCAGTCTGCTTTTTCTGTTAAAGCTGCATGAGAATGGAATACTATTCCGACAACTATACGAGATCTAGACACATATGCTTTA